CAGTACATTTAATCTAGTATATTTGGTATTTAACCTAGTTTTTTCTAGTATTTTTGGTATATCTAGTATATTTTTGTGGTATTTTCTGGTATTTTTGGTATTTTCTAGTATTTTTCCCTAGAACTTGAAAATGTACCTATAGGATGCACATTATCAGAATACTTTTAAATCTTAGCTCTCTAAGTAGAAACCGCTGTGAAAACCCCACCATAGACAGTATACCCATGCAGAACTTTCCATTTCTCTGAACTTATTTTAATTGCCTCCAGTGCACATGTCTTAAGTATCTTTACTCTCCCGCTTAGAGCTATTATACTTCGCTGGAGAACGTAGGAACTTCGTAAATCTTTAAAACACTTAGCTGCACTGCATTTCTCTTGAGTATCTTTCGAGCTTTGCCTTCCAGCTTAGTCCTGTTCTTAGTGCAGTTCTAATCCGAGTTGCAGCACTCATTAAAGATTCTTTTTAACTAATAATACCTGGTAGTCGCTCCCCTCCCCCCCAACAGCGCTCTGTAAATACTGCCCTTCATTGTCTGCCCGGGAGAAAGTAAAAGTTTAAACAGAAACAAAGGGTGCAAAAGAGTGAGCAATACGCACACAATATTTAATGGTCCGAACAGTAGCGAACGTCCTTGCCAGACCCCCCTACATATATCCTTTTCTTCCCCTTCGGAATGGCACCCCTGCCGACGCACACACATTCGACACCCTTGCTCTTTCACTTTCCCTCTCTTTGGGAGCTTCAGGGATGCGTGACAATATGCCGTTTAATTATACGTCAGGACCTTTCCCTCGTCCTTGCTTCATTCATTCTTCCTGACGCCGCTGCTGTTCTTGTGATATCGCACACACATTTTAAAAGTCAATTATCCGCACATAACGCACATCGTTTCAGGAGGGTTCTCGCTCGTGCAGTCCTTGCCACGCGTCAAATTTGGCGCGTTTACATTTTTTTTTTTTGTCGTTCAGCTTCCCTCATTTTCTTTGCAACTTTCTTCGCCGCCAAAGAGAAAGAAAGAAGGCGAAGAAAAGTTTATTACTTTCATGAGACGATGACGACGAGGACGACGACGAAGACGACTCCTTGGCATGCGAATCGATGGCAGGAGAGAGGGATGTCTCGGTAAATTGAATTACATGAGACATGAGACGCGGGTAACCAACGACGAGAGCCATAAGACTTCGATACTAAACCGATAATAGCATAATCAGCCACCACCACGGCGGTGTCTTTCCCCCGGAATCAGGCCCCCGCCATCATACTTCTTCCAACTATAGAGCTTTCTTGGAGGAAAAGTGAGCTTTAGTTACCGTTAACAAGCCAAGTGGCCTGCTCAATTGCCTCGGGTTTTCCTCCTCCCCGCTGCCCCTACCCCTCCCCCACCCATTGATAGTGGCAGCATCCAGGGAAGTTTCCAAGTTCAGACGACTCCTGGTCGTCATCGGTGGCCATCTGCTACACTGCTCTGCAAGGTTGGGGTATGAAATTTATGGAAAAAGTTCGAGTTTTATTTAAAGTATGAAAAAACTAGGAAAATCAATCAACAAAATGGTTTCCATCATCTTCTTATCATCTACTTTCCTTGAACATGTAGGTCAGTGTAATTGTTCAATACATTCTGTGAAGGACTCTCTCAAGCCCCCACACACACACACACACACTGGGCGCTTGTTGCAACTCATTGAGGCAGGAGGCATTCTCATGTAATTGGCTACAATTTGCATAACAATTCTGCGACTGTTTTGCATAAGTCCTGCGACTACGACGACGACTACGACGACGATGCAACATAATAACCCAAAAAGAGGAAGAACAAGAACCAGAAGATGGGGCAGTATATGAGGCATAAAATGGAGGTGGAGCACAGTGGCAGTGGCAGCATCAGGCAGCGGCAGCGACAGCGACAGCGCCACTTATATACACATTAGAAATTCCCTCTTTTCGACTGAGGGACGACTGAGGCCCATAGCAGAGGCAATTATGTGCTTCGCTTGAGCTGCACTCCACTCTCAAAACACACACACACCCACACCCACACATTCCTTGCGACTCCATCCCCCCCGGTACTCAACTTCCTCCCCCCCGCACCAAACTCTTAAGGATCTCCCCCCCCACTCACTCCACACTCTTAGGGATCCTTTCAAGACAGCAGCCGCCTCGTAAAAGTCGCTGCCGGAAATGCAATGGCAAAAGCAGTGGCAGTGGCCCGAGCAAAAAAATAAAAAAAATACCAGTAGGAGTGACCATTACGACTGTCTGGATACCCTATGCTGGGAAGTTTTTCTTAGAAACCCTTTAAAAAATAACGTAGAATGGAGTTCAAAGGCTGTAAAAGAAAGCTTTGATCTATCTAGTATTTTGATATTTATTTTTCCTGTATTTTGTTTCATTTTTCGTAGGTTATTTAGTATATTTTTTTTATATTTTCTGGTATATTCTTGTATTCTTTCTAGTATTACTCTGTTGTTTTTAATAGCATTTCAAGGCATTTTCTTGCTAGTATTTTTTAATATTTTCTGGTATTTTTTGTACATTGTTTTCTGAAATATTCATGGTATTTAATTTATGGCTTTGCTCGCTTAAGTATGCTTTTTAGAATTTTTGGTATGTTTTGGTATTTTTTAGTCTTTTCTGGTATTTTTTAGTATTTTCTGGTATTTCCCAAGAATTTTCCTGGTATTGCTTTCTGTCTTGTCACACGCCTTCTTTTTCTATTGTCTTTTGGTATTTTTCTAGTATTTTCTGGTATTTTTGTATTATTTTCTGGTATTTCTCCAGTATTTTTCTGGTACTGCTCTCTGTCTCGTCAAACCCTTTCTTAGCAATCATCACACCCCAAAAAAAGGGTTACCCCGCATAGGAGCCCAAAAATAAATCTCAGGCAAAAAATCTCTACAAAATGCAACCGTTTCCTCTCCACTTCCTCTCCACTCCTATCCTCGTAGGCACCCAAATTTTCTCCCACACACATTCCTCGCGGAAAGTTATCAAAATTGAAAATTTCTCTCATTTTATTTCCACCAAAAAAAAAAATCGAAAACTTTGCATCTCGTTTGCTTCGCGTTTCGCGTGCAGAACAGAACTGAAGAACTTTATAGGATCCACTTTAATAATGTCGAGTGCTCCTGCCGCTCTCCTCCGCTCTCCTCCTCACTCTTTCTTCATCTGGAATGCCATCTGCAGTTCGAGCAAAAATCTCATCATAAGAAATTAAAACTTAAATACAAAAGCCAGAGCCTAGATGCGGAAATGTTGATGAAGAATATCCTTAGAAGAGGAGGCCAAAGCTGAGGCCGAGTCTGGGGCTGGCTTTTATGCAACAGTTGATTGAGTTTTTCCATTTGGTTTTTCTTTTTTGCCAAAGTCAATCCTCAATCCTCCGTCCATTCCCCCCGTCCCATCATCAAGGTAGCACCCGTCCAACGTCCATGTTAAATTAATAAAAATGTAATGCCCAGGCCGGCGTCCAACCGAAATTGAGCTAATAAATTTACAAAAATGAGTTCGACGCTTAATTTGCCATGAGCATTTTTCATTTTATTTCACGCCGGGCACGAGCCCTGGTCCAAAGGCTCTTAAGCCCCCACCAAAATGAAATCGAGGGAAAAGCCCAAACACACACAGCAACAACACAACGACACAACAAAAGGAAAAGCTCGGAAAACAGAAGGAGAATGAAAATGAACAACAAGAGGAGCAAAGGCAATGCCAGAGATGAAGCTCAAGTGGGGACGGTACGGTCGGAGGTCGGCGGACGGAGGGCAGAGGACGGACCCATTGAGAGGCAGTGGGAAAAGCTACTTAACGAAAACCAGTGAACACAAATTTATTTCACATTCTCTGGAGATGTGGACTAAAGAATGCTCTTCTATCGTGGGAGAAGTTGGAAAGTTGGGAGAGCTTTAGTTTTGGGAGAGTAGAAAAAGTAAAAGTCTCAATAGAATGGATTATTTTATCAACTTTTCCCCTTAGCATTGTCTATAGTTTAAAAGAAAAGTTCTCTAAGCCTTTCATAAAGTAATACAGTTTGACTATTGTTTAGAGATTTAAAGATTTCAAGCCGTGCGATGGCAGCTTTCAAATGTTTTCTCAAATAAATAAAAACAAAAAATTATTACAAATATTCGTCAGTAAACTTTCCTTTTCGTAGTGGTTTTGTTCTGGTATGTATTTTCTTATATTTTTGTAGTATTTTCCGGTATTTTCTGGTATTTTTTTAAAAGAATTTGTATAAAAACACTATAAATATGTATGTCTAGTAATTTCTGGTATTGTGTAGTATTTTTCTAATTATTTTATAATGGTATTTTTTGGTATTTTCTAGTATTTTTTCAAAAAATCTTCGAATTTAAATTCCTTTCCAATATTTTTATAGAAATAATGCAGCTATTTATTTCTGGTATTTTTTAGAATTTTCTGGTAATTTTTAGCATTTCCCTAGGGTCTTTTAATGGTATTTCAAGTATTTTTTAGGTATTTTATCTATTTCTAATGAAAATGAATGCTAGATGCTCCTGACAAATACCACAAATCAGTATTCCCATCCTTCAAGGAACAAAACCAAATAAAAACTACTGACGAAAATAAAGATACCGCATCTATTCTGAATTGTGCAATATATTTGTCTTGAAACTGAAAAGTCCTAAGCATTTTGTATCCTCAAATGGGCTGTCTTTAAAAAATGTAACTCCCTTTCATACCCTAAACGACCATCCGAGCATTAACTCAACAAAAATACGCATATAAATGATAAATAAATATAGGAATATGCATGTACAATGTGGATGGTACATATGTTTACATATATGTAGATTCTTGTATTGTAAATCAACAGAAAGATGTGCGCCCTGCCAGCAGTTAATTTGCATAAAGTACAGAATATTTTCCCCTGTCTCTGACCAACGTACTTAACCGAAGCCCTCTTTACCCTCATTTTCCTTGGAATATTCCGCATACTTTTCGTGGAAATAATATAATTCTTCTGCGTCTCTTTGCAGCTTGGACTTTCGACCGGGTCGCGGCATTTACGATCTGCAAATAAAGAATACCTCCTACAATCGCGACAATGGACGCTTCGAGTGCCGCATTAAGGCCAAAGGTACCGGGGCGGATGTGCACCAGGAGTTCTACAATTTGACGGTGCTGACGGCTCCGCATCCGCCGATGGTCACGCCGGGCAACATTGCGGTGGCCACCGAGGAGAAGCCTTTGGAGCTCACCTGCAGCAGCATTGGCGGCTCACCGGATCCCATGATAACGTAAGCGGTCCACGTGGCCAAGGGCCAAGGGCCAAAAGAAAAATTTAAATTGATGTGCTTCTCGCTTTCTTTCCTTTTTGGCTCTCTCTCTCTCTCTCTTTTGGTGGTTTTGTGGTTAAGTAAATCACTTAACGGGCGGTAGCCTTCATTAATAATCCGTCTGTCGCACATGGTTACTGCAGCCAGTACTTCTCCAAATACCCCTCATAACGATGGGCGTATGGGATTTCAAAAGATTTATGTTTCACCAAAAAAAGGAATTTCATTCCAGTAGTTCTTTGAAGGTCTTTTGGTCTGTTTTTCTTCGATCTTGAGGCTACAAGTTCTTCAAGATTTCCCTGAAAAGCAATACAGCTGATATTTCATAGTGGTTTAGCTCCAAAAACCTTTCTATCCTCCACTAACAAGTATCCCCTAGTCGTATATTTTGTTCTTGGCTTTCGTTACTTATTTTTTGGCACTAAATCCTTGTCTCTGGCTATCCATTCTGATTCGTACCATTTGTCTCTCTGTTTTGCAGCTGGTATCGCGAGGGCAGCACCGTACCACTGCAGTCGTATGCTCTGAAGGGCGGCTCCAAGAACCACTACACAAACGCCACACTACAGATTGTGCCCAGGCGGGCCGACGATGGCGCCAAATACAAATGTGTCGTCTGGAATCGTGCCATGCCGGAGGGCCATACGCTCGAGACCAGCGTCTCTCTAAACGTCAACTGTGAGTACGACTAAGAGTACGAGTTCTAAGAGTACGAGTTCGAGTAGATGTTAAATGGGGTTGGGGCCACGGGGTCAAAAATTTGTCTATGAAGTTTGTCCTAAGACCTTTTAGATTTATATCAGATTTTTGGTTAATTTATTTGGCATCAAAGGGGGGTTTGTACTACATATTTTCTAAAGCCTATAGTAGGCTTTGTTTCGACTGTTTTCTCTCTAGAATTTGTTTCCTTGATTCCTATAAGCAGTGCCTTATCTGTTAGTCAGTTTTAGTTTGTGTTTCGAGTGAAAGCAACAAAATTTCCGACTTTTGTAAATTTATTTTTTATTTTTTTATACCCAAAATTTTGTGTGATTTGCTTTTGGAATGTCGTAGTGGTCTCAAAACACGTCGCTAATCCTGGTTTGTGTTGGCAACGGATCACAAAGTCTCTCGATTGACCCAGGGAGCCATTGGCGGAATAATGTGCCATTGGAATTCTTGGAAGCTATTGATTTCCATCGAATGGGTGGATGAAGAGTGTCGACATTGGTTCTACTCCCGCGCCGCCGTTCCCATCGCACACCATGGGTCCCGCTCTCCAGCAAGGTGAATGCGTTCAACTCAAAGGATGTCCCTACCGTCCTTTGTGTGTGCGAGTGCCTCAGTCGAGTCTCCTTTTTATGCCAGATCCTGCTCGGGGACTATGGTTTTCTGGATTCTTGGGAGTGACTGTCGTTCTATGCGTAAGTTGGCTTCAATCTTCAATCTTCATTTGCAAAACATCTGTCGAATGCCAATTAAAAACCAAAGTGCAGCCCAAACTTCAATAAAACTACATTTATTCCTGGAAAAGTTTATTGCATTTTCCAAAGGGGGGCCCCTCCTTGGCCTCCTACTATTTTTCTTTTGTAATTAAAGTTTGGCAACTGCTTTTATGAGAACATATGCTACCAATTCCCGTAGCAAATGTTGTCGCATGATCCACGTGACCGAAAATCCAAGCACATGACAGACACATAAAGTGTCTGCAACCACACACACACACACACACACACACACTCGCACACATGTTCGTGCAACCCACTTGATTGTTAGTTATTGGACCACAGGACTACAACAGGAGCCGTCACAAGGCAGTGGGTGGTCGGCGGTCTCCTCCCCTGTCGTCTGCTTGTAGTATCAACTTGTCATATTACTTGCCCCACACACACACAGACACATATATGATGCGTCTGAGGATATTAAATGTTGAGCCAACGCTGCGTATGCGCAATCCACTTGCCACTTTTTCCACTTTTCCATTGAGTTGCATTTAATAAAAAATCGTCAACATTTTATGGAAAAATTTCCATAAAAATTTATGCACTCAAATAAAGTAACAAACTACTTTTAAAAGCAATAAAAAGAAAGAAGAAAATCACAAAAAAAAGAGAGCCGTGCCCCAGAAATATACACTCAAAAAAAAAGTAAAAGAGGCAAAAAATAAATAAATACAAAAATTAAGTTAAATGGAATTCATAAAATGTATTAAAAAAGATATAAGAATATTTGTAGGAAATATTTTTCATTGAATTTAAATATGAAATATATTTATTTTATATTTCACATTTTTTTGGCATTAATTTTGAAATCTCACGTGTGTTTTCTCCAAGTGTAGTCATAGGAAAACATAAATTGCAGTGCAAACCGCAAAAGTAGACAGCTAGCACGACCAGTGCTAGAACTCATATATGTATCTGTATCTATGTATCTATGTATCTGTATGTCTTATTTGTGTATCTTGTATCCGAGCGTTGTCGTCAGCGTAACAAATATTTATAGCCCTTGCTATTTGGCAGCAAACACAACAACAACAACAACAACAACAAGAGCAACAAAAAAATATAATAGAAAAACCACCAAAAAGTAGGAAAAATGCACGACACGATTTTCCGGATTTCCAGTGGTGTTCGACCTATGGATACCTCGCTAAATAATCGTGGAATATCGATATTTAGGGGGTACTAGAAATAGGATTATGGGTTTGTGTGAAAAGAATTTCACAAAATAGTATTTCTATGAAAATTTCATCCCATTTAAGGCACTCTTCTCTTTCGATCTTTCGTCTTTCCATCTGGAAGCCTAGATTAAAGATCTAATGTAATATATAGGCAGTGGATTGGCGGCAACATCGCTATCCAATTGGTTTATAAAGTCGAAGAAAACGGCTAATCCCTTCATATATTAAGAGTAGATTTATTGAGTGTTAAATTTATGTTGAAATCCAAGACAAAATCTCTTTAAAGGTCCAGAAATTCGGAAAGATTATAGCTGTAGGGATTAGGTGTACCTATAAATAATGAAGCTATGCCTCTATTTTCACTCTCTCGAATCAATATCCCTGTTTTGAGCACTGAATCACAAAAATTCCAAGAAGAATCACCCATAAATGATTCCAACTTTTGCTTTTTAAAGAAACCCTGCCTTTCTTCGAGCGAATACCTCACCCAGAATACCCTTTCAACTTCTTCAAATACTTCTAGAGGCTATAAACCCCTCTCCTTCTACTTCTGCAGGGTATAACTCCTCTTCTTTCTACTTCTGCAGGGTAGAACCCCTCTTCTTTCTACTATTGCAAGGTATAAACCCCTTCTCTTTCGACTTCTACAGGGTATAGACCCGAAATATAATAATACAAGAACATAAGAAGCACGAACAGACAACAAACAGAAACAAGAATAAATGAGAACAGCACAAGAGAAGGTGGAGAAGGAGAAGGCGAAAAAGAGCAAGCCAAACGGGAAGGGGGGGGCCAAGACGATAGAAAGCAGGAGGCCCTCTGCCCTGCCTCTAAGAAGGTGCCCCCCAAGTAGAACTCCTTTTATGGGTTCAAAGGCGTGGCAGTTGCAATTTTTCTACCCGACAACAACGACGATGGTATTTATGGATGCTCATTTAAAATCCATTAGCGGCAAGAGTCAGCCTAGGCCACAGAACAACAGCAACCCCACATGTGGTGCGGGGGGGTGGGGGTGGTGTGTGTGTGCCCCACTCTAGGGGTGGGGTGGGGGCGCACAAGTCAAAAGTGTGCCTCGAAGGTGCATTTGAGGAGAGGCGCCACCGGGGACATGCAACGTTCGACGTTTAACAATTGAATCGGCAGGAGTTTGGCTTTTGAATGGCTTGGCAAACGCCTTCGGGGCTGGGGGCGAGTGGCGACAACACAGTTTGACTGCCATTGTGATGTCGCAGAGTTAGGGAAGGCCTCTGGGGGCATTTCGAGATAGAAGTTCTTTAGTGAGCGAACATTTCCAATCACTCTGCTTTAAGAGCAAAGAAAGTCTTTCTACGGCTTTCATATCTCCTTGAAAATTAAAAATTAATTTAAAAAAAAAAACCTCATCATTTCCTGTCGGGTTTCACGCTCATTTTCCCCGTCTAGTTTTTGCTGGAATTTCCCAGAAAATTAGTTGCATCAGGGAAATGTCTCTGTACAGTTGGACAAGCACTGGGGTTGACAGCAGCAGCCTGCATTGAGACTGATATGAATGCGAAAGCAGAGGCAAAGACACGACTGTCGCATGACTGTGATTGTGATTGATAAGCAATTGATAGCACCAGAGGAGAGTGGGGAGAGGAGAGAGGGTAAAGGGCAGAGGGGAGTGGGGAGAGGAAGATCAAATCAAAGAGGATGTAAGAAAGAAAGCAACGAGTGTGGAAAACGGAAGGAGCAACAGCAACAGCATGAAAAATGGCATGGCAATTTTTTAATTGAAAATGTTTGCATGGAAAGCGCTGCTAACCATTTCTCCAGCTATACTTTCTCCCCGACTCTTGCCAGCTCTCTCCATCTCTGTGTCTTCTTTATAAATGTTTTTTCGTTTGCTCTTGCCGCTTCTGTTTATTTCTTTCTCCTCCTCCTCCCCCCCCCCACACTTTCTCGCTGTCTTTCTTGGTGTGTGCGTTGCGTGTTGTGCCTGCATTTGATTGATTTATGCCACAAGGAAACCCCAAGCATGCAACAACAAAATATTCGTAGAGGCAAGAACGAATCTCTTGATATCCTTAATCGTAGATATCTAATATATTCATCCGACTTTTGATTGAAGCTTTTTTAGGTATTTTTTTAGAAATTTAGAAATTTTTTCTTAGGAAATTCATAAATATGTTTTCAGCTAGAATCGATATAAATTTATCGATAAGCATTCGATTTATTTAATAATTAATCGAAAATATTTAAGATTTTAGATCGTTTCTGCCCAAGAAATCCGTTGAAATCCCCACAATATTTCCTATGGGCAATCGATGTGATATTGGTGCTGTGTTTATCGATAAATATCGATAATATGTTATTCGGAATCATCAGTAAAACCAAGAACACATAATACTTACAAAAACAATTCGAATTCCAGAAATTCGTGGAAATGTATCAATATATACCGATAAATAATCGATTATATTTTATAGAATACTTAAAAATACAATTCAAATCAAAGAAAATCATTGAAATTAATCGAAAATCACCGAAAGTCTACGAATCATCTTCGAAAAGTCATCGAAATCGATGGAAAGTCAGGGAAAGTAATCGAAATTCATCGAAAACTTATCGATATTCATCGAAATTCATTGATTTCTTGGGGATTTTCAACTGTTTGTGCTTCCACTTGGCTTCTCTCAAGCCAATGCCCCAATCTTCCTCCCACTTTAAAGACTTCCTTTGCCTTTGCCACCCCCTCTGCCTGGCCAGAAATCTCCCCGAAATCCCAGGACTTTCCTCAGCGCAAAGGGTATACCACAAAAAAATTGAGAGAGAAACGCAGAAATATATATAGTATATTTTTGGGTGAAAATAAACTTCTTCTCGATGCGTCATGTTGTCATCGAGGCGAGGACTCTGTTCGCGTTCCGTTCCGTTCCGTTCTGTTCCGTTCGACTGTTGAGTGTTTTATAACGTGGCGAAAATCCCCAAATGAAATTATTGAAAATGGAGGAGCACTCTCTTTCTCTTTAGATGGAATCAAAAATGCATATGTACATAC